GGGACCAAGTCATTATTCCTACAGGACAGCAGGACTGCAAATGCTAACCCAAGATCAGGTTGCTTTTCACAGGCCAAGTGAAGGGCACAGACATGCAATTTGATTTGGAGAAAACATGATTATCATGTCCAGGAACACAGAAGCTGAAGCCAGCACAGTGGGTTGCTGCCTTGGGAGGCAGGAGTGCTGCAGAGCAACAGGTAAACTCGGAAATCTGGAACTCTGTTTTCATAGGGATCATAAAACAACAACTTTGTAGGCAACCTAAGATGCTAAAGACTTTCAAGATGATCTGAAGACAAAGGCCTCTATTGCCATAGGATGGAAGGCAATGGTCACAAAGTGAAGCAAAGGAGTGAGACCTTGTGGGAGACGGCCACTGGGTGCCAGCTGTAGGTGCAGACCCGATCTCTGGGGCCATTCGGGTCCCATCCGGCTGCTCTGGACCCCCGCCCATCCCAGCCTTTACGAGGACAAAAGTAAAAGACTCGAGGCTCTCTTCTCCTCGGGACCAAAGTCCTACTTTATTCCTTGATAGGAGTCACCTGGAAATCCAGGCAACATCCCTGGGGGAAAAGAGGAGGAATGCTTGATTGTGAGAGATTTTAAACCAGTGAATGGAGGGTGGAGGAAAAGAACCACAGGCAGTGGGATACAAGTGAGGAGGGGGAGAGGGGAGGAGGAGACCAGGGAGAAACCACTACTACTGGGGCTTAGGGGGGAAAGGGGAGAAGGAGACAGACAATGTGATCAGTGCAATTTACCAGACACCCAGTGCAAAACAACAACTAAATCAACTATTTAGTGCAATACAACAAAGGAGAATCGACCATCTGAACTTCAAGAAAGGCTCTTTGACTGTGTGGCTTGTCCAGAGAAGCTGTACATTCTCCAACCTTGGAGATACACAAAACCCAGCTGGACATGGTTCTGGGTAACTGGCTGGAGGGGGCCTTGCTTGAATGGGGGAGGTGGAGTAGATAATCTTGAGAGTCCCTTCTGAGCACTTCTGTAATTCAGTGGAGGTTGAAGCAACTGGGTGGATGATATCACCTAATACTGCAGTATGCACTTCTGAGAGTGTACAATCCAGTCTAAGACATTTTCTTTTTAAGGCACTAAGCCTTAACAATTCTTAGGTGACCTCAGACAAGCAATTAGAATTCTAATTTTAATTCTGATGATGATGATGATTATTATTCCTGCTGTTATTATCTAAAAGTGAAGGAAACTTACCCTTCTGTAACTTTGTCAGATCCTCCTTTTTTTCCAAGAAAGATTCTTCAAACTGCAGGAAGAAGAAAAGTTCTATTGTCATTCCATGATTTTGATTCTCCAAATTTAGGTAAAGAAGGCCTAAGGAGATGTGTTTTGAGCCATTTTATATTTTTATAACATAAATCGTATTTTAAAGCTGTCAGACACCATGGCCAGCACTGTGACAGAAACCCATGGATGATCTTGAAACACACAGACTCCCATACACCATCTCTGGTTTAGTATCAGAATCTGTCAGAGGTAAAAAAACCAAAACTGTAGTTTTGGACATTGGACATTGGAATTTAACTGAAGGTACTCAGAATTGCAGGTGCTTGACCTCTGTGATTAATCAGAAGATTAAGAAGCCAGGTTCTGCTGCTGGGGTTTTAAATTTCTTCTCTCTCTAGCTACAGGGGAGGAGCATTTGTGGTGCTACCTGCAGGCTTTGCACACAATGCATGCAAGTGAGACAGGAACTTGCCCCCTGCTTAGGGCAAGCTCGTGGTCCCTGTTGGCCTGCTCAGCAATGCACTGAAGGCAGAGCTTGAAGCTGCTGCTCAGCCACACTTTCAGAAGGAACAGGAGAAGCACATATTTGTCACAGGGTCTCAGTACAAAAGACCAGAAGCAAACCTCAACCCCAGCTGCTGCCAGGAGCCACCGAATTGGTTCCATGCGGCCACGTCCATTGAAGTAGTGAAGCCTGGGTTTTCCAGACATGTTTCCACGTGCCTGATTCCCTGGTATCTGCAATGAAGAAAGAAGGTTTGCACAATAAACATTCTTAATCCTGGATTCAACTCTCCAATTCACTTTCAAAGTTGTCTTTTTTGAAACCAATGATTTATGGTTCAAGACTTTACTTAATCAACTGTGGAGGTAAAAGTTAGAATTTATTGAGAGACCGCCAGGTATCATTCTGCCTTCAGATATTACTTACACATGCAGAATATTTAAGCAGAACTCTGTACTTAGAGCAATTGGCCCAGACAGAGAAGCAGTCAATCAGAACAATTTTCATTCAAAGTGTTCTGTTCTGACCAGAAAGCTGCATGTGCTCTTTGTGTATTTTGGCATTATCTCTGAACACAGTTACTGTTTAATCAGATACATGCTATAAACTCAGCAATTGCTCTGCTTTCTCCAGCAGCCATTATGCTCCATTATAACCAGCCAGGAAGGAATTCTTTCCTTCAGTCAATCCCTTTTACAACACTCCATGCTTCTGAAATGTCTTTAGACAAAACCTCCAAAACATGGAAATCAATTTTGCCCCTGGTAACATCAGATTTGCCTTTACCACAGGCACAGCCACAGGGCAATGCTTGCTTGGTCCAGTTCCAACTCTGCTGGAATTTCAAGCAACAACAATTTCTAGGCAGAAACTTAAAGCAACAACAGTTTCTAGGCAGACTGTCACCCACCCCACTCAGAACCATGGGTGCACATCAGCCACAAAGACACCCAAACAGTGCCCAGCCTAGACCAGCCTCACACCTATTGGCACTCTGTCAGCAACAAAGCTGAAGCTTTATCAGCAGCAAAAGGAAAACGGCCAAACCACCACTATAATCCCCTTGTAAATAACATGTCAGCTTCTCTAGAGTAGGAAGGAGGAGGTGAGAGGAAACATTCCCCACTTGTTGTATCTGCACTTCTTTTTCTAATGCTGTGCACCTCAAAAGCAGCTGATTAAGAATTAACATTTGGTACACATAACCATGTTAGTAAAGAAAGTACATACACACATTCAATCTATAAAACCCATTAAATAACTGAGCTTCACATACAACAACTCCCTGCATGTCCAAAATAAAAGAACCCACTTACCTTGCGCAGAGTCCAACTCACTCTAAGCTCTCAGCCGTTCTGCCTTGAGATTATATAACTCTAGAGCCCCTCCCACACCAAGTATTGCAATCAATTCTCTGCAATTGAGAAACTTCTTTCTCTTAAGCAAACAAAACCCATGATCTCTCTTTAGTTACTTCTCACCTACAGAGAATAAATCCCTGAGTAATGATGACAATGCAGAAGTGTAAGCTACATGAGAGACCATGATCATTGGAAATATCTGTGTCAGCACAGAATGGTAATATGCCTCCTATTTGCCAGTTAAAAATAATTATAGTGTCTGAAAAGCTCATTCAGATTAAAAAAATACTGCTATGCCAATCACCTTTTATTCTAATGTTTTCTGGGTGTTTACTTTTTACACATTGACACTTTACATAAATCACATCAACTAATTCACCTCAAATCTGACATAAACTTCTATGCCTTGCTAAGTGTATATTCCTTCAGGACATTTTTGCTCAATTCCATCAATGGACATTGGGGTGGGTTTTGACAATTTTTCGTCAAAAACATTTCCCTGAATTTGACTCAGTGTAAATACACACCAAAGAGAACTGTGAGAGACAATGAATGAAGTGTGGTATCAGAAGGCAAACTGCCCTCTGCACTCCTGACTGCTTTCACTGGAGAACTGTATTGATCTGAGGAAGTCAGTGCAGAATAATCCTCCATGCACCATCCTGCCTATCTAATCTACGTGGTTAATATTGATGTAGGCAGTACCTGCGGTCAAGGTCAAAAAATACATGCAAAAGTTTTCTGAATTACCCTGAACATGGCAGTGGGCAGGAATATTCTTCTTATGTTACACAGGGAGGTTGTATAACTTGCAGTGTGTCACACAATACAATCGGTTTGTTACAATAGGAGGGGCTTTTTCCCTCCGGTCCTTCCTGGACACGAGCTGCAAGTGTTGTCCAAATGCTTCAGTCAGGCAGGAGAGAAACAGCTCCTGCAACAACTCTCTGCATCTTTCAGCATGCTTTGCTGCTGAAAAACATGGGTTTATTTCCTTTTCTGATGACAAAAACTGGTTCCAGCTGCATGACATCTCCTATGAAGAAACTGTTGGCTTTAGCAAGAGCTACAGAGCCCTGAGTTTGCCCAGCTGAAAACTGCCAGTGCTCTAGTTGTAGCTGGATTTAGGGCACTGACTCTTTCATTTACAAACTTGCTTGATTTGGTGTTTAAGTAGTATCACAGAATCATAGAATGGTTTGGGGTAGAAGGGACCTTAAAGATCATCTAGTTCCAACCCTCCTGCCCCTCGGCAGGAACACATTTCACTGCATAAATGCACATTTTTATCAAAGTTCAACAGTCTTGCTAACCTTAGTAGTGGAGCTTGATCAAAGTGATTAGAATGAACAACTGCAGTACAACTTGTATTAAACTTGGTTTCATATTCAGTGACATAAGTCAACATGGATTCCTGCATTCCAGGGTCTCACTAAGACCTGACACCATCCTGGCTCCTCCTTTCTCAGTAAGTTTTAAGCTGGTGCCCAGCATTTGTTTCTCAGAGTCCTCAAAGGGCTTTTAGCTGCTGCAGTAGACCCTCTGATAAAGGAAACATGGCTGAAGCTGCAGCACAAGACTTCAAGTGTCTAGTGGCAAAGCAGAGGTGCAGTAGGAGCTCTGGTCCAAGGATATTCCAAGTTAAGCTCAGAGGAAAGCTGAATCCAAACTTTCAGCCTCAGCTAACCAGAACCTGCAGGCTTTTCTATGAATTTCCTAGGGAAAAAAAAAAAAAAACCCAAACATGACCTACTGTTTGGATTAATCTCTCCTAATTTTCCAACAATTCTTGGGAATGCAATAAAAACAGAACTGGACAGATCTTAGGCATAGAGGTAGCAGCAAGAAGTCAATGAACAGCCAGGTTTTGAGTATCAATAGTAAGAATTTATTTCAGGTAGTTTTTTAGTTATTCAAGGCATTATGTGTTGTCCAATTTACCCCCTTAAATTTAGTGAACTATTTCCTTTGCTGGTACACTCATGTAGTTTCACAGTGAAGTGTCTGCAGTAGGCTAAAACCAGCCCTGTAGCTAAGGAAAGATCAAAAACATTTTTTCACTCGTTCCATTAATTTGACATTTCCATTCTTTTGATTAATTTCACCTTGCTACTATCTGCAAATACAGTGAAACAGAGTTTCTGTGGCTTTAGGGTGCTGCTCAGGAGTAGAAAATTTTCATCACTTTGTCTACAACACTGTCATCTGATGGTGGTTTCCTCTGGCTGCCAGGCTGCAGGAATTTCTTTATTGTGGGGATATTGCTTATTCTTGCTTTGAAACTCTACAAAACAAAATCAAAACAGCGCCGTGTTTAAGAATCATTGCAACTGTCAGACATTTTAATGTTATCCATGCTCTGAAAGACACATTACAGCTTGATGCTACAGAAGAAGCTATATGCTTCCCTCTCTTATGCTTTTGGGGTTGTAGTGACAAAATGTGGCAATAACATTGAGTATGTGGGGCCAGCTAAAAGTTCTTAGGGTATTTTATTATTTTGCATGTCACTTCTGACCCTCTCACTCTCCCATATTTCCCAGCCACATTAAATCAGTGGTCCTTTCCAATTAAGGCTCCATTCAAACTGCCCATTCATTTACCTGCAAGACAGGAAATTTGACAAAGATATCAGGCTTCCACTCCTCTACCATCAAAATAACTTCAAGTAATTGAACATCTGCCCTGCTCAGCTGGTTGCCAACCAGAAAGTCCTTTCCATGGTCTTTCAAAACCTAAAAACAGAGAACCAGAAGTAGATGATGTCTTTTATCAGTTCTTTTCTCATAAATAATGTAATATCTTCAAAGCAGGGTCACACATTGCACAGAGTTGTCCACAAAAGAAGGAAATGCAGTTCAAACAGCTGTAGTACAAACAATGATCTGAAGGCACTGCCATCCTAGGCATCATCTATCAGCTCTTTCACTTCTACATTCCTGTCTGGCAGCTCAGTTGTGCTCAACATGCCTTGGCTGCTGTAGCTGCACTGAAGGCTGAGCTGTATGACATACAGGAGGAACTCCAATGCTTTTACACTGCATCTATGGTACACAGCATCTATGGGCCACCTACAATACATGATGAAGTTGATGTCAAAGCTGGTGCTGTAGTGTCTTTTGTCTGAAGCAACAGACACTCTGAAACATGGACATTTGGGGAGCTCTGGGTGTGCTGGGTTTTTGCAGCTGTACATCTCTCCCAGATATGAAGTGCCTTCTGTCCCCTCTGGAGTATCCTGTCTCCACCTTAATCCCAGCACCACTAAAAACCAGAACATAGATTTTCCAGCGGTAGCTTCTCTTCTGTTTTCTTCCATAAAACTTGTGTGCTTCCAGGATGGAGGTTCAAGGTAACAGCATCAATTGAGCTACAACTCGTTGCCACATACCTTCTCAAATACTGGGAAGTATCTGTTTTCAGCCTTGTCCATCATGTTTGCAAAATGCTGCTCCTTTTTGTCTGCTGGTTGGATTTCATATGTCATTAGTAACTCATTCAGATCGAACATTCCTTCCACGTACATATCGATTCTGAAAGGAAGAGATCCACTTGGTCAGGTCACACACAGTAGGTCTGAACAGCACAATAACTCCTGGCACAACCTCACTGAGATGCTGGGAAATCCCTGCCCCTTCTATCCCACACACACACCAATACCCTGGCAAAGTTCCCCCTGGAATGCAGTTGCACTGGGGCCAGGCAGGGGGTTATGTTGGGCCAAAGGCAAATGCAAAATTCCTAGGGAAACATGAAGACTGTAGGACTCCCACTTCTTACTGCGACTGATTCTTGTCTGGAATATGAGCTTTTGAACCTGATTACAAAACTGTCATATGTGCCATCCAGACGTGTGTTAAAAATCCAATCAGCCTAAGTTTAACAGCAGGTCCATACCATTTCAAGCAAATATCTTGACACATGTGTTTACCAGGGCTTAGTAATTTCAAGCATTCAGAAATACCTCAGGTCAAAACATGTGCCCCAGGAGTGCTCTCCTTTAATAACCTGTAATTAAATCTGTACTAATTCCTGGTTAGTAGTGAGAGGAGGGTTTTTGTTCCCTTAAAAGACATTTCCCTGAATGTGATGAGGAGGAAATGATGCTGCTGACAACTGCAGAAGAAAATGAAATGCAGCATCAGAAGGACAGTCTGCCCCCCTGACTGCTTTCTTCTGGCAAGTGCATTGACCTCTGACTGATGATTCCTGGGCTCGCTTGCCCCATGGAATCCAGCTGGCTCTCTCTGCTGTAGACATCAGCTGCAGCCACAGTGATCTCGTGCAGTGCTGCCCTCTGCCACTGAATCGAGCTGTGAGCTGCACACCCTTGTGTTTCCTGAGCTACAGGGGGAGCTGGGGTCTAACAAGCAAAGGTGGTACTGTTACAGTACAGGGCTCTCTCCTTCATGTCCTTCCCGTAGAGGTTGTACTTGGTCGCTATGTAGTTGGCAATGGCTCTGGTCTGCACCAGCTTCATCCCGTCGATCTCTACCATTGGCACTTGCTGAAAGAGCAGGGATCCATCTAGGCCAAAGGGAATAACACAAGGAGAAGTTCAGTCCCTCAATGAGAACCACCAGCATGTGTAAGGCAAAGTAACCACATGGATTACTTTTTTTTTAGAATCTGAATCAATCTGGCTGGATAAAAAATCCCAAGATCATCAAATCCAATTGTAAAATCAACAATGCCTAATTCCACCACTAAACCCTCTCCCCAAGTGCACCTCTACACGCAGTGACTCAACCACTTCCTTGGGCAGCCTGTTCCAATGCTTGAGAACCCTTTTGGTAGCAACCTTCCTCATTCTTACAGGCAGGTGTGGAAAATGCTCACCATGCAGCAGCCTCTTCTTAGTGACATGATAACAACTTAATACAATAGGAATGAAGTTGTGGGAATTTCAGATTGAGGAAACAGCCCAAGGCAGAACTGGCAGCAGTCACACGCTGAAAAATACATGCACTGCATGGCTCTAACACAGGTGATTTTCATGCAGGTTCATAGAGATGAGAAGGACTGAAAGATCTGGTCCAGCCAGTTTCTGTCGTGCTCTGCTAAATACATCTGGACTTTCTAAGCACTGGCCAACATATAATGTGAATAATAATGAATATATAAACAATAGTGAATAGAAAAGCAAAGAAGATCTTTGTGACAACTTTATTGACATTACAAATGGCAGCTCATCTGTACAAGCATGAAGTGGGACCAACAAGTGAGTTCCACGAGATTCCTGCAAGACCCAAATATCACTTGGAGTGAGGCTGGAGCCATTAAATTCTTCTGCTAGCATGCAGAAGCCTTTTCCTAGCAAGAAGTAATATCACCAGAAAGAGAGGTGTCAGGTCAGAGCGTCAGCAAGAGTTTTTGCTTAAGGAATCATATTTCTTGACTCAGATGACTGATCAGCTATGTTCTTTTTGTAAGGGTGCATTTAGGTTTATAATTGTGTCCCAAAATACTTTTTGAAAAGCAGCCTGTAACAGGGCGACCATGTCATTATTCCTACAGGACAGCAGGACTGCAAATGTTAACCCAAGCTCAGCTTTGTTTCCACAGGCCAAGTGAAGGGCACAGCCATGCAATTTGGTTTGGAGGAAACATGATTATCATGTCCAGGAAGACAGAAGCTGAAGCCAGCACAGTGGGTTGTTGCCTTGGGAGCAACAGGTAAACTCGGAAATCTGGAACTCTGTTTTCATAGGGATAATAAAACAACAACTTTGTAGGCAACCTAAGATGCTAAAGACTTTCAAGATGATCTGAAGACAAAGGTCTCTATTGCCATAGGATGGAAGGCAATGGACACAAGCTGAAGCAAAGGAGAGTCAACCATCTGAACTTCAAGAAAGGCTCTTTGACTGTGTGGCTTGTCCAGAGAAGCTGTACATTCTCCAACCTTGGAGATACGCAAAACCCAGCTTGACATGGTCCTGGGTAACTGGCTGGAGGGGGCCTTGCTTGAATGGGGGAGGTGGAGTAGATAATCTTGAGACGTCCTTTCTGACCTCAGCCCATCTTGGATTCAGTGAAGATCGAAGCAACTGGGTGGATGATATCAGCTAACACACTGCAGGACCTCTCTCTGCATGTATGAGAGCTCATGTACAATCCAGTTAAGGGACTTTCATTATAAGGCACTAAGATTTAACAATTCTTAAGTGTTCTCAGACAAGTAACTCTAATTCTAATTATAATTCTGATTCTTCCTATTTTTACTATTGAGCTGTTATTATCTAAAAGTGAAGGAAACTTACCCTTCTGTAACTTTGTCAGATCCTCCTTTTTTTCCAAGTAAGATTCTTCAAACTGTAGGAAGAAGAAAAGTTCTATTGTCATTCCATGATTTTGATTCTTCTTCATTTAGGTAAAGAAGGCCTAAGGAGATGTGTTTTGAGCCATTTTATATTTTTATAACATAAATCATATTTTAAAGCTGTCAGGCACCATGGCCATCACTGTGACAGAAACCCATGGATGATCTTGAAACACACAGACTCCCATACACCATCTCTGGTTTAGTATCAGAATCTGTCAGAGGTAAAAAAACCAAAACTGTAGTTTTGGACATTGGACATTGGAATTTAACTGAAGGGACTCAGAATTGCAGGTGCTTGACCTCTGTGATTAATCAGAAGATTAAGAAGCCAGGTTCTGCTGCTGGGGTTTTAAATTTCTTCTCTCTCTAGCTACAGGGGAGGAGCATTTGTGGTGCTACCTGCAGGCTTTGCACACGATGCATGCAAGTGAGACAGGAACTTGCCCCCTGCTTAGGGCAAGCTCGTGGTCCCTGTTGGCCTGCTCAGTGATGCACTGAAGGCAGAGCTTGAAGCTGCTGCTCAGTCACACTTTCAGAAGGAACAGGAGAAGCACATATTTGTCACAGGGTCTCAGTACAAAAGACCAGAAGCAAACCTCAACCCCAGCTGCTGCCAGGAGCCACCGAATTGATTCCATGCGGCCACGTCCATTGAAGTAGTGCAGCCTGGGTTTTCCAGACATGTTTCCACGTGCCTGATTCCCTGGTATCTGCAATGAAGAAAGAAGGTTTGCAATTTTGAGTCTCTAACTGGCTCTCTCTTTCTTTTTTGAAACCAATGATTTATGGTTCAAGACTTTAATTAATCAACAGTGGAGGTAAAAGATTATATTGAGTGACTGCCATGATTCATTCTGCCTTCAAATGTTTCTTACACATGCAGAGTATTTAAGCAAAATTCTGGACTTAGAGCAATTGGCCCAGACAGAGAACAAGGATTTTAAAGTATTTTAAACTTTGCATCCAATGTGTTCTGTTCTGACCAGAAAGCTCTGTGTGCTCTTTGTGTATTTTGGCATTATCTTTGAACACAGTTACTGTTTATTCAGATACATGCTATAAACTCAGCAATTGCTCTGCTTTCTCCAGCAGCCATTATGCTCCATTATAACCAGCCAGGAAGGAATTCTTTCCTTCAGTCAATCCCTTTTACAACACTCCATGCTTCTGAAATGTCTTTAGACAAAACCTCCAACACATGGAAGTTAATTTTGCCCCTGGTAACATCAGATTTGCCTTTACCACAGGCACAGCCACAGGGCAATGCTTGCTTGGTCCAGTTCCAACTCTGCTGGAATTTCAAGCAACAACAATTTCTAGGCAGAAACTTAAAGCAACAACAGTTTCTAGGCAGACTGTCACCCACCCCACTCAGAACCATGGGTGCACATCAGCCACAAAGACACCCAAACAGTGCCCAGCCTAGACCAGCCTCACACCTATTGGCACTCTGTCAGCAACAAAGCTGAAGCTTTATCAGCAGCAAAAGGAAAACGGCCAAACCACCACTATAATCCCCTTGTAAATAACATGTCAGCTTCTCTAGAGTAGGAAGAAGGAGGTGAGAGGAAACATTCCCCACTTGTTGTATCTGCACTTCTTTTTCTAATGCTGTGCACCTCAAAAGCAGCTGATTAAGAATTAACATTTGGTACACATATCCATATTATTAAAGAAAATACATACACACATTTATTCTATAAAACCCATTCAATGACTGAGTTTCATGTACAAGTCCCTGCATTTTAGGGAAAATAAAGTAAAAAACTCACCTTGCACAGTGTGACCCACTCTGAACTTACAGCAGTTCTGCCTTAAGATTATATAACTCTGGAGCTCCTCCTACACTGAGCATTCCAAACAGCTCTCTGCAAACAGGAGACTTCTCTCTCTTAAGCAAACAAAAACCATTATCTCTGTTATGCTTCTTCCCACCTACAGAAAATAAATTCGTGACTACTGCTGACTATGTAGAAATGTAAAATAAATCAGAGGTCATAATCATTGGAATTATCTATGCTAGCACAAAATGGTTATATGCCTCCGATTTTCATTGCTTGTTACCATGCTAGCTAAAAATAATTATAACAGCTGAAAAGCTCACTCAGATTAAAAGAATACTGCTCTGGCAATCTCACTTTTATTCTAGGGGTTGTTTGCGTTTTGGGTTTTTGTTTGTTTGTTTGTTTTGTTGGGTTTTTTTTTACTTTTTACACATTGCTATTTTACATAAATCACATCAACTAATTCAGCTCGAATCTTTCACAAGCTTCTATGCCTTTCTTAGTGCATATTCCTTCAGGTGACTTCTGTTGAATCCTCTCTGGACATCTGGGTTGGTTTGTTTTTTTTATTTTTCCTGAATTTGACTCAGTGAAAATACACACCAAAGACTGTATTTGACTGAAAGAGACAGTAAATGAAGTGTGGCATCAGAAGGCAAACTGCACTCTGCACTCCTGACTGCTTTCTTTGGACAACTCAATAGATTTCAAAAAGTCATACATTCAAATACAGCATACATTCCCATGTACCTTCCTGCCTATCTAACCTACCTGGGTAATATTGTTGTAGCCATCACCTGCAGTTACAGTACAGCAGGCTGTCTCTTTCATGTCCTTCCAGTATGCATCCTTGATTGCTTGGTAGCTGAAAATGATCCTTGTCCTGTCAATCCCTACTGTTGGTGTTCCATGCTTGACAATAAAATAAACTTAATAATTTATTTAGAGCTAGAATCACAGAAGGACAAGGCATCAGAGTCACCACTCAGTGTATTGTCTTTTAGGAGGTGACTAGTCCCCATGTGGAACACTGTATCCCATATGGCACATAAGGGGAGCCAGGCTTCACAAAAGAGGACCCCTGACTGAGAGCACCTCTTGTAGCTCCCCATTCTGGTTAGGGCTCTATGTCCCTCTGTCCCCTCCTTACATTTTGGGAAGGTCTTCCATCCAGCCTCTGACACTGTTGGAAACAGTGTTTCCCACATTTTTGGACACATATGACTTAGGACACAGAATCTAGGATAATGTAGGAGATTGAAGCTCTCATGCAGTGACATGTGCACCAATGTGCATCTGGCTGTTTCACAAACCCAAACTCCCTTTTAGGTAACTTGTCTGGATTTGACATTTGTAGGCCTGCCCCTGATAAACTCTAGGAGACATCCTGAGTCTAGTGATCACCTGGCAGGGAAACACGAGTTCAAGCCTAAAAGTTAATGATAGTGTAGACAACTTAGAAAAAAACCCATCTCACCTAACTTTGTAGACACCTACATCTGGTCTAGCTGTCTAGTCTCCTTCCAATAGGTCCAAATTCAGGAGGAGTCCCTCAGCATGCTCTTCTGTTACAGCTGAACTACTCAAGAATGATTGTGTCTCAACTGAGATAGTTAAAAGTTTTGATGAAGCCAGTCCCTTCAGCCTTCCCTTAGAGGTAGGGGAGAGGAGCACCCTCTTCAAAGGGTGATTTAATGCCAACACTGAGGTTTCTTGTTCTGTCACAAGTATCCATTGAGATTTCAGGCAACTAAGTCCAATATAGTCTATCTCATAACTTTCAGAAATGTCACTTCACTGAGCTATTTTGGGAAATATTATTCTTCTGTTTTCTCCCTCAGGTTCATTTTTCCATATTTTTTCTAATTTCTTTTTTTCTTCACTCATGTCATAGACTATTAAGCATCAGATCTGGTTACTGACAGTTGTTGGAACACAGTTTCCTTCTAAGCAGCTGCTTCTCTGTTGCATCAGGCGACTTCACAGGGCTGTTTTTTGTCTGTTGTAATATTTTTATTTGAAATTAAATGTACTGTGAGTATCTGTTGCTCTGTGTTCTGTCCTAAAGGTGTAGAAATAAACCCCCTCTGCCTTGCCACAGTCTGCAAAGCAGACTGCACCTTGCTTTCCCAATACTTTGCTCTCAAGAGGTAATATATTTGTAAGCAGCTTGGGAGTAGCTGGTATGATCATTCAGGTTTGAAATACCTGATTTATAGACAAAAGTAATCAGAAAAAAAAAAAAACGAAAAACTTTTGCAAAAACTTTACTGAGGGGCCTTAAAAATCCAATCCACGCACAAGCTTTAAATTTGAGAATGGAAATTTGAAACAAGTCTACTTCTTTAAAGGCTAAGTGGTGCTGCAAGTCTTCTCTTCCACAGCTCTTACTCTGAGCTTCTTTTCATGTAGAAAATATCTTCTCCAACAAGTTGTATTCTGACAATACTAACACTGCATCGTTTTTTCCAAATTAATAAATTCCCAACCCTACAAATAGTTCTTTGCCTCCATACCCCTTTCTTTTCATGTTTTGCCAAGCATTTGATATCAATAAAGAAAAAGCTGCTGTCACATTGCCAGTGTAACAGAATGCTTTATTTTTGGTATGGGTTGCTTTGTTCCTCTAGCACTGGTTTTAATTAAAACAATACTAATTTGTTGAGCTTCCTTCTCCTTTGATTTAGGGTTTGGGGTTGCTGCTCTGCTTTCTCCTGCTCTCCCAGCATTTTGGGTCTCATCAAAGGTGGCAAGGAATTCATTTCTTAAAAACCTTCAACACAGTTTCTACATAATGGGCATCTGGTGGGGGTTTCCTTGGGCTGCCAGGCTGCAGGAACTTCTTAATTGTAGGCATATTGCTCATTTTGGTTTTAAACACCTAAAAAAAGATTGAAATAATTAAAAAACAGAGCAAGAGAGGAATTCCAGCCACAAAAATGTGATTATCCAGCATGGGGAGATGATTACTTCAGGACTGACCTCTAGCTCCTGAATACAGCATGCTCAGTAATTAAATTACCTGCAACTGAGGAAACCCTGAGAGCACATCAGGAACTTTCTCCTCCACTGCTAAAATGGCTTCCATTAGCTGAACATCTGCCCAGCTGAATTTGTTGCCCACAAGAAAGTCTTGGCCATGTTGTTTCAAAACCTGGAGAAGACAAGAAAAAATGGGCTGCAGATGAGAGTGGGGCATATGGGCATCCTTGGCAGCTAAACTTCACAGCACAGCTGCAGAGCTGAGCAGAAATTCTATCTGAAATTTCAGGGTGGACTTTTCAGCTGAAGCTGAGCCTAAATTTCATTATTGCTGGGAAAAAATGAAGTTTTGTTCATTTTGTGTTCTAATACACAGACTACAAACTTTGGTCACTAAGTACTAATGAATGATGATGGGCACTAGGAACAAAAACAAAACCACATGCTTCAGTAGACTAGTAACAGTCCTAGAATTAGAAACAGGGACTATGGAGGAAACAACAAGCAATTTAAGGAATTCACAGAACTTCCATTTACATGTTTCATGTGAAGAGATGTCCAATGCTGATATCAGGAAGCAAACTTAGAAATGCAGAATTGCAACAACTAACTAAAGAAAATCCCTGCTTTTGGGAACAGACTATTTTAGTGCTAAGAACCTGTGTGATGTTCAGCCTTTATTATTGTTTTGCAAGAAAACTAGATCAATATTACAAAAGTGGGAAATATTGCCAGATGCATGAATCATATGGGTTGGGTTTATTGTTTTATAAATCTCTGACTGTAGTTTTACTAAAGTACTCCTTTCTACAGGATTTGTGTATGAGGAAGTTTTGCATTTGCATTGAAACTTTTCCAAATGAAATTAAGTATGGCAGAGAGATGGGCTTCAAACAAATATAAGTCTAGAACTACTCCTTCAAGAAAAATAATCCCAAAACTTTTAGTGAAAAGTTTTTCTGTACAGCTGAGAACATATTGCTTCACAGATGTTCAAATACCACAGCCCTGACAACACAAGCAAACAAAAAGAGGAAGATGTGCTGCTCTATTTCCCCTTTTCTGATAGCAAAAAAACTGAGGATTGGGAACTGACCTACACTACAAACACATTTTTATTTTGCAGAAACTTTTTGGATAATTGCAAGTTTGATAGACACATACTCGCTGTTGCTTACCTTTTCAAAGACGGGAAAGTACCTGTTAGTTGCTCTCTCCTTAATTGACTCAAGATTTTTCTCCTTTGCATCAGGTGGAGAGAAAGGAAACATCAAAATCATTTGCATCAGATCTGATATTCCCTCCACATACATGTCAATCCTATTGGTCAGGGGAAGATGGGAGAAAAAAGCACAGAAGTTATTTCATCTGTTTTCCAATTAACTAAGGCAACTTACAGGAATTTTATATCACCAATCTAGTGCCAATTTTCACAGCCAAAACTAAGCATGAACGAAACCTGACTATTTTTCTAAAAGAAAAGAAGCCTGTTTCTGTTAGGAGCATTTCAGAAGCGGTTAGTGGTTAAATCTTATTGTTAGCCTTTTTGATGCCTTTATATGGGATTTACAGGATTGAATTTGGTTTATATAATGTAGCTATCAAATAACTGACTGCTCTGTTAGTGATAGGAGGTGTTACATACAGGGCTCTCTCCTTCAAGTCTTTCCCATAGAGATTGTATTTCCCTGCTATGTAGCTCATGATGGCTCTGGTCTGCACCATCTTCATCCCATCGATCTCAACCAGGGGCACTTGCTGGAAGAGCAGGAATCCACCTAGGGTGGAGAGGTGAAGGAAAGCCTGTTAGTTCCTCCTGCAAGGTGCACAGGAGAAGGAGACACTGAGCACATTTCTCTTGCAGTGTAGACCACTGATGTCTTGCTCTAACTGTACAACTCATAGCACTCAACTAACATTGTGGGGAGGATCAAACAGCCTGCATCACACTCCTGCAAAGCCACCACAGCACAGCTGGTCCCTGGGCTTGACAGCATTGACAGAGCTTCAGTGGCTGGTGGGAGTTGGCCCTGCCTGCACCTCTGCACTTCTGGAGACTGCCCATGCTGGCAGGAAAAGCCTGAACCAGCACTTCCAACCCAAGGCACAGGAGGAGAATGAAGATACCTAGTAAATCTGAACTTGAAAAAAATCCAATTCTTTTGAATGCAGATCAATTCCCTGACAGGGACCTACACAGGTAGTACTGCAGCAAGACCAAGCTGCAGGGTTACAAGAAGGGGTTAGGTCCCTTTAAACATCCTGAAGCTACAGAGCTAAAGGCAGAGCCTGTAATAGCTGTTGGTGTTTGAATAAGTTTCACACAGTCACTTCAGGACCAGAGTTTGAGTGTCTCCATAGATTTTACAGGCCTAGTCCCAGTGCCATTCTCTAACAATTTAGGCCTATATAGAAACATCTTTATAGTCCCATTTTCTGCTGGTGCTGGTAGGAGCAATTGTCTGAGCTTTCAGTGAGGCAGTTCTGAGAGCTAAGTACACACAGAGATTTAGCATTGCAAAGTCAGTCTATTCTAGACCAGTTTTCTGTTGGACTAATTCACTGTTTTTGGAGACACTCCCTCCTCCATCTACACACTAATGGCATCCAGAGAACAATTCTGCCCTGTGTATAATCACAGCAGAACTCCAAATCCAAATAGGCAGCTGCCACTTGCGTTGCCTAAAGTCAATGATTTATTTTAATTGCTCAATTTATATCTGTTTGGTGAATCCTTCTTTCAGATATGAAGGTTCATTTCAACAGGCACATCTGCCTGCCTTTTTCTTCAGAGCTGTTAAAATATCTTGGTGGGCTAGAATTAATATTCTTCACTCATTCTACATTATTAATTGACAGTTGAAATTCAAAGAGTAGTTATCTCTGCAGCAACAAATAGCTTGTATTTGCTTCTTGTAAACATTCACAGAAAGATCATGTGTGTTCTTGTCTTTCCAGAACACACCTCTGCATCTTAAGGAAGAAACATTACTTGGTACCTATCTAGCAGAAACAATAGAATAGCAAAATTAATAGATCTGGAAGGATATTTTTCAGCAGAAAGATGTGAAGTGAAAAATATCATTTGTCTTTCTGGCCCTTGACAAAAAGCAACGCAGCAAATATGACTGAATACACCATTTGTTTCTTATCTACAGAAAAGAGGAGTCCCTCTTAAGATCAGTAGTGGACTGCCTCTCCTCCCTCATTTTGTAGGGAGAACCACTTCACATAACCACAGCACAGAATACATATGCAGGATTAAAAGGAGTTTACCCGTAATTCCAGGGATTGGGTTGCTCTCTCCAAAGGTGGTCTGTGCAGCACACATTAAAAAACAATCACCTGCTATTTGTAACCAACTAGCAGAGCTCACTGATACCCACGTAGCACCTGGGCAACCTTTGGCTGCACAGACTGAGCCAGGTTAGTCATCCCTCAGGCCAAGAGGTACAGGTCTGCACAGGCCAAGGGTATTTAACTCTCTTTGCCTCCAAAACAGCTGTCTCTCTGCAAGCTGCCTGTTGGGAACAGCCTCTGGCCCAGGCATCATCCTGACACTGCTGGGGCATTGCCTGGAGGATCATCAGCTGGCACAGGCCAAAGTCATGCCTGGGCCAGTCTAACGATGCGGTAGAGTCTAAACACAGGAAACTGTCAAAAATCATATTGGTAGGGAGAGAAGAAAAGTTTAAGGGAGAAGTAATGTGGAGTTACTCCTGTTGAATCCTGCCCTGCACAACTGGCAACATTCCAGAGGCTCCTTTATCAGGATGACTAATTGATCTATCTTTCTTCAACCCATTCTATTAAACCACACCTTTTTTCTTTGTGTTCTCACCATCTTAAGCTCAATATATAGATATAAAACGCTTGATCTTTATAAAATTTCCCTATCCTTTTCACCACCATTTAATTCTTCTCTCTGGATATCAATAAGCTCAGATACAATCCTGGTTACAGTATCACTGCTTCTAGATAACCTACTTTTGTGAAAGATATAGAAATTTGGGCTTTCAGTACCTGTGCTCTTACATTTAGAGCTATAATTGGTTTCTGTACACTGTGCTGTCCTCCCACATTGTAAGAGTCCCAGCAAACATGACCTGCAAATTTAATTCTTATCTATTAAATACCACTTCTATCTTATTTTTGTTCACTTTAGTTTTCCCTGTCAGAATTTCTTTAGACACAGTTTTTTCTTTCTGCATTCAGCCACAATGCAGACAAGACCTCTTCCAAGCCTCCTTGTATAGCTTGGCAAGCCCAGCCTGCTCTGAGGTTCTTCTCACTTGTCTTGGGCAGCAGGTAAACTGTGGGGCGTATGCTCTCTGTGCTGCTCCTCACTATCCCAACTCCTTCTCCACTCTGGCAGGAAGGTCTTCTCTTTCCAGGGTGTCTGTAGAGGGGTTCACTGCTGGATTACTCTGACCAGATATCAAGGGCAGTGGCTAGGGGTTTGCACTGGTGTGTGGGAAGAACTGGTCTTGCTCCCAAGGTTGGCATGAAGCCTTTGTGGCATGCTGCTTTGACCATGCCAGGCTTTCCACAGGTCTCCCTGCTGGCTCCATGCTTTTTAACTAGAGGAAACTTCCCATCTCAGGCTCAGGGAGTTCTATTTGTCCTGAACCAAAAATGTGCAAGGTACCATGCTGAAATGTACCATTCAACAGCATAGGTAAGTAAGTAGAAGTGTTTGCTTGTTTAGTGTACTAGAATAAGCACAATCAGAGAAGCTCTACCTTTTAGCTTATACCAGTTATTTAGCACTGGAAATAGCAGGTTACTCAAAGCTAGTATTGCACTATTCAAGGTGTGCACCCAGAAGTTTCCACTGGTTTAAGTAAATTATTTCAAACCATAAGTTTAGCTAGGCTGGACACTTATTTTGAAGGACTAAGTCTTAGGTGTCAGGAATCTTACCTTTGATTAACTTGTCATACTGCTCTTTTGTTTCCAAATAAACTTCTTCAAACTGAAAAAGGAGTAAGAATTGTGTCACGCTGCTGTATTTGAACATTTTTCTTCTGTTAAGTGATAGCACATAACCATGCCTAGAATTACTGAATCAAGCAAAAGGTAATGGGCCAGATCTGCAGCTGCACTGTTTAGGTGCAGATGTCCCAAGGATCCCTCACACACCCTGGCAGTTGATGGGGAGCAGAAGGAGGGCCTGGACACTTCTGCATCAGTGCACTGATTCAGAAATAACTGAAGACCAAGCTCAAACAGTGTGCAGGAATCTACAGAAACACGACAGGTTGGAGCCAATGCCAAGGGAAACACAAGGCACATCAAATATTTCTAACCCCACCCCAGCATACACACATTGCAACTGCAAACTTAATAAGACTGCTAGCACAGCTAGATAACTTATGATTAATAAAGGCCCTTTAAATAAATCCCCATTTTGTTCCCTTATGATTAATCACGTCAGGAGATTGCTACGACTTCTAATAAACTCTGAATGCCACTGAGTTTGCAGCCCAAGTATCAACCATGGAACAAGGTAGTTACAAACATGCAGTGCCATTGGACAAAAGAATTTGGCCACCCTCATGCAGCTTTTATTTGCCACATGCATGTTAAATTGTCCCTCACGGAGGAAAGTAGAGAACACCAGTCTGTAACACTCTACTGGAAATGTCAACCAACCTCCACACCAGCTGCTGCCAACAGCCATCGTATGGGTTCCATCCGGCCCCTTCCGTTCAAGTAGGTAAGCCTGGGCTTCCCCGACATGATCCTGAGCTCCTGGTTCCCTGAAAGATACTAAGCAGGAAACAGTATCTCATAAAACTGGTGTTTTAAGCGTCGTTGCTTTGAGGGGAGATAGCACCTTTTATTCTCGCTATATAGCTGTTGAAATTTAAACTTCATTTGGTTCAAACATAAAATGAGAGACAGGCCAGTGACACCACACAGCCAGTGCTAGGAAAGGAAAGATGTGTGAATCTGTAAAGCCTTCCCCAGTGCTGCCGGGGAGGTTTCTTATGACTGCAAGCAAACACAGACCTGTTTAAACAAGTGGTATGAGTCCCTAGCTACAGGGGGAACTGCTGCCTATGAAGACAATTATACAAAGCTACTGAAAATCCTGCCACATCCTCAGGGAAATTACTCACCTCACCTCATTGCCCATCATCATCATTGAAAAGAAGAAAAGGAAAACATGTTTTACCAGTAGGCTGAAATTTGTCTAGCTTTGTTTGCCATATGTGTATTTTGCAGCTTCATATGCAGTCCATATCTTCCCTCAAATAGGGGTGAATGAATTGTTGATATCTCTTTATTTCATTAAACAGGATGAGTTCCTTGGCCATTTTCCTGTAGCCAGCTGCATGGCTACAGCCCATTTCCTTGCTGCTTATGGCAGCCGGGAGGTGTCCCTCAAAGCCAGATGTAGAACCCAGCTGCATTGGCTCCATGTGCCCTGAGAAGTATCCCCTGGGCGTGGGGGCCCTCTGTTTCCAGGGGGACAGGCACACGGAGGCTGTCGCTGCTCTGCTGTACCTGCACCTCTCCCAGAGCACGGCAGAGACAGCGCCTTCGTACCGAGCTGCTGCATACCCCGGGCAACCAGCTGGGGTATGTGGATGGCAGTGCTCAGATGTCAGCATAAGCACTTCTACATTCGGGCCCTAATTGCTCTGTGCTTCGTGCCCTAATTACTAAAAGAACACAAATAGCATTCCCCTTCACAAAGATGATTGTATCATACATTGACGATCAGAAGGAAAAAAAACCCTTTAAAATAGATCTTCTAATCATATCCTAATGGCTCAGAGTGCCTCACTTAATAAAATTTCCAGATGACTCCAGTTTTCCCAGAGTTAAAGCCAAAGCTGCATCATTACATTTGTCACACCTTGCATCCACTTGACACTTCCTATTTGAATCAGGCTCAGTACACTCCAGTAGTATGTTTTCTTCAAGCCACAGTGCTTTCTTTGTAGGTGTACTTAAAACAAAGTACACTTGGAACATATTCTGCCCAAACTTCACTTAAATAAAAATCAAAATTGAGAGTTGCCCCTTGAGCAATTCCAGTAAGAACCAAGTCATGCTACTAAAATAAATAGGGATGTTTGGGGTAATTTAATAAACATAATCCAAATACACATTATGGAAAAAAGTATGTTCAGTTTTAAAGTGTGAATAGCTGTTCCTAATTACAATGTCTGGCTCTAGGGACAGTGTTTTATTAGTTTCTGCATCTTGTGTGACTACTTTTCACTGTAGGGCAGTATATCAATATAGTTCACAACAACTAGCTAGTGCTTCTTTCATTATCATACTTGTCAGCTTCGTTGCATCTCTATCATGTCAACACACATTGCCCCAACTTGTAACGCACAGAAACTTACAGTAAATAAGACTTTTCCTTTCACTAAAAAAGCCAACATCAGAAATATCAAGTATATGAACCTCAATCCTTCTGGAAACATTGTCTTTTATTTGCAAAGAAGAGTAGGAGTAAGAAGCCTCAGGTATCATTTTATCATTTCACATGAACAAGAGATTTTATGTAGCATTAAATTATGTGAGAAGAACAATGACAAACATAGAATTAAAATTTGCCATAAGATTTTTTTTTTAATTAAAAAAACTGTCAGCTCTGAGTGGATTTTAGTTACCTTAACCTTCCCACACAGAAAAAAAAAAAAAAAAAAAAAAAAAAAAAACAAAAAAAAAAACACAAAAAACCCCAAACCATCCAAAACCACTACCAATAAAAAAAAAAAAAAAAAACAAAAACCAAAACCAACCAACCAAAAAAAAAAAATCCCAAAAAAATCCCTCTTGAGTTTTGGTTAAATCTTTAAATCTTTAGATCTGCTGAATGCATCTCCATTGATTATACAACAGCTGACACCTGTAGCTCACATATAGGCAGGTACTTTCAGTTCGTGTTTGCCTTAATTAAAAATGGTCATTGGGCCAAAGTTACAATTTGTTGCACAGATATTCTGTAGTTCCCTTACATATTCTTCAGTAAGATGAGTAGCTATTATCTGAAAATCATATTAAAATAATTCAAAATATTCCAAGACAAGATACTAAAAACTAACACTTTTCAGAAGTTGTAGGATTCTGCCAGTGCCAGACAGCTCTTTCAAGGAAATAGGAAAACCCCTGATACTGATAACCTAAGGTGATGAAGGACCCATTCACTGGGCAACACACAAGGTTGTGTGTTGAAGATTTTGAAGTTAGCTGCAGTTGTCCTGGGAGCCACACTGTGGTAAATCATTCACCTTGTTTGCACAAGAAGGGCAAGGAACAGCCTCTGGGACAGTAACTGACATGCCAAATCCCACTATGCTACTCCTTCCACCTGGGAAAGGAATGACATCACAGCTGTGCAGTAACCAGCCATAAACCCTAAAAGGCTCAAGCAGATGTAACAGATGTGCTGTTTCTAAATACCAATCTGGAATTGTTATTTGTGGGTGGTCACATTATTATTAACGTGGAATACAGGTTATTGACTAACTACTAAGAATAAAGCAGCAGAAACTCCACCACTCAGTCCAAAGCTGAGCACACAAGCAGCTGAATTAATTGCATTAACAAAGATCTATCAGCTGCTCTGAGTCTGTAAATATTTATGCTGATTCTCAGTATGCATTTGGAGTGTGCCGTGCCACTGGGCAGCTATGGAAGCTGTGTGGATTTATGACTTCTAGTGGAAGTAAACTATCAAATGCTCCATGAATTACTGAACTGTTAAAGTTACACAATTGCCAGAGAAACGTGTCAGCCTGACCATATGGCAGAAGGACAAAAAAGAGATAGGAAATGGTCTAACATACTTCGCATAACAACAGTACAAACCACCAGGCTTACAAGTAGTCCACGATATGAGCTGGTGTTTCTTGCTCCTGAAAAGCTGTGTCTGACTGCTCCTACTGAGCAAAATTGACTCTTGCAAAAGGTACAAACAGCCAGATGTCCAGGGACTGTTGAGAACAGGCATGCAAAACCTTCTAATTTTAATTAAGTAATATCTGATTCCTATAGCAAAAACACTACTCAGGACATTTGGGGATTACTGCACTAACCCAGACACTGCTGAAGAACTGGTTCATGTCATGAATTTATGCTGCAGTAAAATAAATAATTGCATCCTGCATACACTGCCCTGACATCTAGCAAAAGCTTCAACACAAAATTTGACTACATACAATTTTTAAATTGCTTTTGTCTAAAATCCATATTTCTATTCCATTTCCTACTGCCTTGTAAGCCTCAGTAACATGCCTGTCCAGAATTTCTCTGAGCATACATCTCAGGGATGCAAGAACAATTTAAGAGATCATCATTTTCCAACAACAGGAGCACTCAGCATGAAGTGCTGCTTAGCCCTGGAGCTGAGATTAGAGTCCAGCATATCCCATGGGCCAGCTTTCCTGCTCAAACCCAAAAGAAACAACACAGTGCTCGAGACTTGCACTTTGTCCTTTCAGTAGTTTCATGGCTGCCTTGGTCAGCTCTAGACTGCACCACAGAATTAATTTCCTGATTAAAACACACCTTTCTCTGGCATTTTCTCTCCTGCAGCTTCCACTGGTGAATAACTATCAAGCAATTTTTAGTCTACCTGGCACACAGACGAACTAAGGAAAGCAGAGAATTTACATTAGACCAGCAGATGCCCTAAAAAACTTAGTTGTGTCACTTTAAAATAGTCATGCAAACACTTTAAGAAAAAGGAATTTTTAAGTTCTTACCTTCTGACCTTAACTCAGACCCCACCCAGCACAGGCAGGTTCCCCAGGGCTGTTTAAACTCTGCAGCCTGGGGGAGTTTCCAGCCATACCCAATAAGAGAAAAAGCCTCCCATTGCTCTTAAACCGACACTATCCAGTTTAAAGTGGTATGGTTCTGAAAACTGACACCCAAGCAAAGACAGTCTTTGTTTGCTGATTTGACTACACCATGACACCAACCTCACAGTTTCTAAGGTAGCCATCTATTCAAACTGTTCTCCTGGAATTTTGGGGGCATTTTACCCAAATACAAAAGCAAGACATTTGAACACACTGAGAAAATTATAGATTTTTCCTGGGTCATATTTAAGGTAATAGTAATAATTTAAAGAAAAACCACTAAAGTTTCTAGGCTTATTTAATTATTTGGCAGGTCTTTATTTTTGCTGCTGTATGACATAGAGAAGTTACTCAAAGTATGGAATAACAGGGCTCAATTACTTTGAAATACAATATCAAGCTTACTTGATATAAAAATTGGACGAGCAGTTTATGTCACAACCCACTCTATGTCTCAAGGCAATAGCATTAATTTTTGAAATTGAATGTACATGGCTAACACTCAGAGATTAAATAAATGATGATTTTCTTACCCATGAGAAGTAATTGTTTCAGCTTTTCTCTCTGTATTTCAGCTAAAAATCCCAAAACTGAAAGTGGATGTGAACAGACACAAGGATAGCATAGCAAATGGAAAAAGGGATTTGGGTGCCAAGATAAGGTTCTTTCCTCTAGCACAGACCCACATGTGATGCTGGTCATTGCTTTACATCCCTGCACCAAACATCAGTACAATTAATCTTGTAGTATATGGTAGAGATAATTCATGCTATAGAAGTAGGTATATATGTGTATAAAATATTGGAAAGATCCAAAGTTATGTTTCTGACCACTCCGGCTGGGAACAGGGTTCTATTCTTATTTTAACCAGTTCCCGGGACAGCGGTAAGATAATACCAGGTCTGTTACCTTATGAATGGAATGGTCCCTGGCTGTTATGGGGGATTTCCTCTTGCTCGACATTCGACATTCGGGAGATAGCATCTGGACCTTCCCAGAATGGAATAATGGAATGTCTGGAGGAGCTCACAAGACATAGACCTGGACATTACTTCATCGTGGTACTCAGAAACTAGTACATGTGAATGCATCTTCTGCCTGGACACTCAGACATTCGTCTGCATCTCTGAGCTCGCCTTTGTCTGTTTCTACATCTGTATGGATTCAACTATACATGAGAAGGAACACAAAGAAATATGTGGTCATCCCTGCCCCAGGCAGAATAAACTGTATATAAGCTGGCCACTGGAGGCACTCGGGGTGTACCTCTGGGGAAATGCTGTCTCTCTGTCAGCCGGAGCCCTAGGTCACCCAGAGCTGTTCCCGGGACTGACGCTGTCTTGGCTGAGGTAATTTTTCCCTTTTTTTTGAAATTTCTATTTTTGTTATTGATCTCATTAATCTTTGTTAAATTTTTCAGAAATTTGGCTACTGATTTGATCATTTATAACCATCTGAAGATCTGTTCATAGAACCCACACTGTTATCAAAATTGTATTTGTCTGTCTAAAGCCATGGCTCTACTAACACAGCACCTCACTATGGGGAATCTCAGGACAAAAGTCTCCAGGTAACATTTTCCTCTCAGGTGGAGTTTTGTAATGGTTTCTCTGCTTGGCAATTGCTAGCAGTTTCTTCAGAGGGTGCACTTCCCTTAGAGGCTTCCTGCAAATTTGTAATTTATGTGCTTTGGAGGTTGATGCTGTCAGCAAAACTGAACTGTATGGTGCTTCTTTACACTTTGCCTAATTCTAACTCTCTCATAAGTTCATAACATGCTGAGTAAAGCATGACATTTAATGCATGCATCTGTATTTTTTCTCTGTCAAACCCAGTTACTACCAGGCTACTCTCGAGAAAATTCCTAAATATGAATCAGAAGTCCAGCAGAGGCCCAGAAAAATCCCCAGCTGGCAGAACAGGTACCCTGTTTTGGAATACCTGAACATTATGTAAATGCATGCTTACCAAGCATGGGCACGGTGATCCCTGTGTAATGCAGATGTGGCTCCAGTAGGAATGCAGCACATACAGAGATAGCTGAGTAGGAAAGGAGCATTTGTTCATACTTATCCAGTACTGAATCAAGATTAATCTACTCCTGCTTTTGAGGTGTTTAATAGCAGCATGCACCTGAGTGTGTGGAACAGAGACCACAGAAGAGCATGCACGTAACTGTAGTCTCTTTGTCCTCTCTGCAGTCTCAAAAGCTGCCAAGGACAACAGTAGGCTTGGTGGCAAAGAGAGGGAGGGAGAGGTCCCTAATTTAAGGGTCAGGGATGACTGAGTGGTCAAGCAAAGCATTCTGATACTTTTTGGATTTGCTGACTATGGCCACATCTAGATTTGTTGGTTGTTCCCTTTCTACCCATTCTTGTTTGGCAGAAAGACTTTCTCCCTTGTTCTCTTTTTATTTTGCTTCCAGCACAGCCTTTCATAATGTAATTACAAAGCTCCTTTGGAACCTGAAGGTAATCATATCAAGGAGGTTGCTGTTATCTATAATTTGAATAGGTGTTCTGTAAACCTCCAGAGCAGAAAAGAAAATAAGTTTCTTCTACACATGATTTGTTAAGCCACACCCATGAGTATTCAAGAAGTGGGCATGGGGCCCAGGTGCTGCTGAATGGATCTGGGCTTGGGCAAAGGCAGATTTTAACTAGTGAGTATACCATGCCCTGGCATGTCACCTTCCCACTTTGCTCTGCAGACACACTTCCTTGTGCTGTAGATGAGGTAGGTTCAAAGTCTTGTCAAAATGTACCTACCTGCAATCCTCACAAAACACCAAGCAGCTGGCCTGGGGAATGATGCCTGATTGCAGCATCCTCTCCGAGGTGAGCACAGGATACATCACTAAATGCCACATTAAACACAGAAGGGTAGGAGGATTCTCCCCATGCTGCTTATGGCACTCCTAAACATGCAAGCTCCTAAACTGACACACAACACCACTGTGATAAAGATAATTTGAGTCCACATGAATAGTGGACTATTCATTGAGTCATGCATCACTCAAGCCTTGCTGCAAACCTTCAGGTTCTGTACAGGAAGCTTTACTGACTGCCCAAAGCAAGGTTAACCAAGCCTGTAGTAACCCTCACACATATTTCCTTGAGCTCTTTGGCTTTCAGTTGGACCACTGGCATAGGAAAGTCTGAAAACAATAACCCTAATTCTGATTTACACCCACTGTAAATTTACACCCACTGTAGTGCTGTGAGGAGAGTTTAAATGGAGATCTGGTTTTCAGTACATTGTTATTTGGATTGTTTAGTCTTTATTGATCTGTCTCAACATGGTCAAAGGGCTGCTTTATCAAGGCATGAGATAGGCAAGATCAAGGTTTCCAAGACAACTGAAACATACCTTTAGTATATTTAACAAATTTAATTGTAAAATATTTAACTTAAATAGCTCATGTATTGTAATTACATCACATTTTGATATAAACTTGTATTAGTGTATGTTTCCTCTATTTGGTATCTGTTGTGTTCTGGGGATCTTTCTAAGACTCTCACTTTATGTGCATTATTACAACTAAAACTACTAATAACCTAAACTTAGGTTTAAAGAATATTTTTATTTTCTACTACTAGGAATAGGGGTGGGAAAACCTTTAATCAAGCCAAAAAAAGCCTGTGAAATCAGCTTCATCAGATGGTGGCTCAGGGCTGATGAGGGAGGAGGGAATTTCCTAAGAGCAGATGGTCCAACTTCAGAGAAAAGCAGATACAAGTCAGATGGTACAAGCCTACAACACAAGGTTTAAAACCACACAGTGATCAATACTGGGATAACCTGCCTTTCACAGTTTAACCTTTTTGCACTGGAGAGCTGCTTAGCCCTGAATGTTCAATATCTTTCAAGATTTCACTGTGTTCATGATATCCTTCACATTACTTTCATCCATTTAAATTCCTGGCCTCAATGACATCCTCTAACAATGAGATCCACTGTCTTAGTGTGAAAATGTTGCTTTTATTTGCTTGTATTTTGTTGCTTTTATTTAATTGTGTTCTTCCACTTCCATCATAAGATAGGGGAGATGAAAGCCCTTCTCTATCTCTCGTACTGAAATCACATGCATAAAAAATAATTTATCTAATAATTTTTGTAACTAATTGATTTG